TGATCCACATATTGGGTAGAGTGACCACGCTACGTCCATTTGTGATGAATAAATATATTTGCAGTGTTAGCTGAGAAAATTAATTTATATTTGAGATGCCGAGAAGATCTTGTCATAAGACAATTAGTACTGTGGTAAAATAATGACAACGCGGACAATTGGTGTTCCGTGTGAGTAGCCAGAAAAACAGCAGAACTGCATATTATGGTGAACAGAGTATTTCACATCATCTAACAATTCACGTCTTTAAAGTAACAGCTTACAATATTTGGAAAATGTGGTGAACAAAGAACAAAGCAACGAAAAGTCCTGCGATGAAGTCAGGGGCAGAGTTTACCAAGCCTCCATTTCAAAATACTATAGAAAAATAACTATTCGACGAATATATACAAAGGGTAGATTGCTACGATGCAGTGACATAGAGCCGTGCTGTTTTTGAGAACTTGTGAAGTTTCTAAACGCTCCTTGTCGTGGAAAAATCATATAACAGCAAGGGTTACTGTTCACCAGAGTAGAACGGTACGACTGGCTACAGAATTAACAATCAGGGGCCGAGATAAGGGGAGCTCAGCGCGGATAGCATCAATTTGTTTGGGGTCGAAAAAAGAGCAAACAAAAGAAGCAAAAGAAGCCGTCAGGGCCATCAACAGAGACGGTATGAACGCAAAGATTCGCGCTATGCTGAGGAAAACATCGTGAGGATTGCAAAACAGAGGAGCTCATAAAGGCCGTTAACACTTCCTGATGGTGGTCCAAAAGAGGAAGAGAAAAAAAATGGCTGCGAATATCGACTCTGCAGAGGATAAGATAAGTATATTTAGAAACCAATTTACTATCAAGGGAACCGTCTCAAGCCCCAGAAGGACCTTTTTCAGAGTGCAAGAATAATGCCAAGATTTAAGTATCCTATAGAAAGAGTTTATGTCCGTTTACAGGGACCATTTCTTAAGGCGTATCCTGGGGAGGAATGGAGATGATTTGACAAATTTTCGCAAGATCTGATTGATTTCCATTGTCTAGTGAAAGTAACAAATCCTGCGAGTGACCCTGCATAGGCAGCAAGAGAACTTACAAGGAAATTAAGGAAGCCAATAGAAATTTCAATAACATCAGAAGAAGCTGGCCCACAAAAACGATTAGCAGGAACAATAAGCAGTCTGTAATTGTGATTTCGACAACTGGAAAAACGTTTAAGTACAGACCAGATATTAATTTAGTGAGAAATTACTGTGCGCATAATAAAAAGAGTAACAATGATCTCACTTAACGCCTGGCTTACAAATATCAATGACTGCATACTCTTTGACGTTACAGCTAGACAACTTGATGATATTACTTTTCAGAAATTAATACAGAGGTCATGTAAATTTTTATTCCATGAATAAAATGTTGAAAAGTGAATGTTTAATTCTGTTATATGAAATTCCCAAAGTTCAATGTTAAAGATTTAGTTAGTTCTTCCCGTCGCCTATGTAACGTATTAGTATCCCAGGACACGTATGCAACCCTCTCGCAGAAATTATTTTAAATAAATTTTCCCAATGCCTTCGGGCGTGCCTCCGATCGACTATGCCCAGCTACAATGAAAAGTGCCAAAATTCCCCACTCTTTTACGAAACGTATTTATCCAACAATATACGAAGCTGGGAAAGTTCAGCTCTAGAGTAGTTGACTACCTGTTTCAACAACGGAAAAGAACGATATATAGAGCTTCAGATCTTCACTTGTTTTCGAACGCATATTCCTTATCGTCTTCAACATATGAATTGGTAATGCACATATAGGTAGATATAAACTTGTTTAAGATAATTCTGAACTCAACCATTCA